CCCAAATGAGTATTCAGGTCCCAACGGTATGTTTAATTTTGAGCAGATCATTGGATCAGTCCCTAATATTTCAAAGGGAAGCTGCTGCTGCTGCATTATCGGAATTCGTACGCTTTAGGTGCTTGTAGAGTTTCTGCACTCCTCTCTCTCTCTCTCTCAAAATTATAATGTGAATGTATTTTTCCATGTGAGCATGCTTATCTGTTCATTAATTTCTCCTGTCGGAGATTCTATCTAAGCTCAAAGATAAAAAAAATTCTGCAGCTAGGTTCGAGGTTTTAGTTAGTATATTAAATTGCCATTGGAACTCAATGGTGCACAATGCACACTGTAAGTAGGTGAACAATGACAAGAGGTCACTTGAGTAATCAACGTATTTTGTACTCTCTCTCATTACTTTTTTGTGTCTTAATCTTCCTGAGAACCAGAAAGTTAGTCAAAATGTACTCTTAACATTTTTATATTTCAAATTATGTTTGATAACCAAAGTGTTCTTGAGCTTATTACAGACTTCTTGTCAGCATGTCCATTGTTAAATAGACAATATAAATATTTTGAAGTATGTCCTATTTGTCCAAGCATTTTTGGAGTGAGTTTGCTTTAGTGCTTTGGGGGATGGGTTGGAGATAAAGGGGATTAAGACATTTATCTAAATTTTCTCAGAATTGATTATCTTGTCCATTCACTTATTTGAAAGTGAACGATATTTTAGGAATGCGAGTGCGTCCATTCCTCTGGTGTTTGTTAGATAGTTTTGGCGCAACTGACGGAGCATTCCTCAGACATTTTAAAATGATGATATTTTCTCGGAATTTCTTTTAACTGATCGAGGCTTTAGTTGGAGTGATATTTTTCAAGTGTATTTTTCTACTTCTGACCTGTTTGAGCACCACTTCTCCTGTAAAGCTATACATTCTTTTATGCTTAATAATATCTATTCGGTTTCTATCAGAAAACAAAAAAACTTTGAGATTTATGTAGGCAATCTGAAGGTATGTACTAAAAATTTTCCTGTAAAACTATTGCATCATGCTGTGAGATTGAATTTAATATTTCCTGAAGCCTGGATAATCTATTTAGTGAGGTAAGAATTTTGATGAATTAGCTATCGAGCTAACAAACATCTTGAATGGCCCAGCTGTATGCAAGTCTAGTCCTCTCTGCGAATTGAAGCTCAACCTATAGAAGAGCACTAGTCAGAAATTTTGAAATGTGTCCTAGTATTTATGTACATCTAATTGTAACAGAATAGAACTACTTGATCTCGACCATTATACTATTCCTATTATTGTTTTGAAGGTTCGCGGCAAACTAATTTCTGAAAACTGAATCACGTCATAATTCCTTGCGTGGTCAAAATTTACTTTTCTATCTTTTAGTAGTATCTCAAATCACCAGAGGGATTTTTATATTTGGTGAACAGAGTCAAGGATCACACTTTTGAAATTTTGGTTTACCATATACTGTTGTGGTAATTGCTGAGGTCATTTTTAGATTTCATAGATGAACTTGGGGTGAAAATAATGCTGCTGCTTAGGATTTTAAATATTTGTTTAAATGATATAAGATCCTGCTCTTGCTTTCTAGTTATTACGGTGTGTTTATCATTCTGCAGTGTTGGTTTTGGCTCTGTATTGGAGCAGATGGTTGAGGGACTGTGTCGGCATGTTTCAGATGAATCTCCAACTGTTAGGCGCCTTTGTTTGAGAGGACTTGTGCAGGTTGTTCTATGTTAACCTTTCATGGTGGTGTTTTTTTAATTGATCAATTTATGTGATGCCATTTTGAAACATTCTTGTACTTGCATCTGAAGTGGCTGCATTTAATTCTTTTATCACTCAAAAATAATTCACATTGCATTGTCATGTGACATGGACTACAGACACTTCTCAATGATATTCTCCCTTCCTACCGCAATTCCAAAGTGTCTCCTTTATAGACCCTGTTTGATTTTCATTCTTTGAAAAAAAATACATTCTTAAAGAGTGTTTTGACATCATTTTAACCACAAATTTTTCAATAAAATAATATTAAACGGAAATCCAAAATTTTTTCTTATTTTTTAACTACACATTTCCTATCAATACACTATTCAAAAATTCATTCTTATCAAAAGAATGGAGCTCAAACAAGGGCATAATGTTTTTAATAGAACTGGAAATTAGGAAATGAAGCCATCAATATGGAATTTACCACATATATATGTAGATGAATGTACTTCTCTTTTGCGAAAGAGCATCACATGTCAACGTTTTCTTGCAGATGCCATCTATCCATATTCTTCAATACACCGCTCAGATTCTGAGTGTTATATTAGCTTTGCTTGATGATTCAGATGAATCAGTTCAACTTACTGCAGTGCAATGTTTGATAATGGTGATTATTATTCTTTTTAATCTCTTCTTTAACTCGATTATCTTTATATGCATCTATAACACTGATATCCACCATGTTAGGTTCTTGAGGCATCATCCAATGATGCTGTTGAACCCATTCTGCTTAACCTTTCTGTCCGGCTTCGAAATCTTCAAGTAAGTTCTTAATTAATAGAATGTCTTCTTTTAATATTCCAAGCTATTTATTTAATAGGTAGATAATGATATCTGGAAAATTCAAGACTTGTGAAAGCTTATCTATAGTGCTTTTCTTCTTCTATATCAGTATTTAATTGGGGGGCTGGTAACTTCCTGGAGGGAAAAATATTAAGGCCCTGTTTGAGCCACATTCTTTGAAAAAAAGACATTTTTAAATAGGGATTTGACATCATTTCAACTACACGTTTTTCAATAAAATAATATTACACGCAAATTCAAAAATTTTCCTTATTTTTTAACCACATATTCTCCATCAATCTACTATTCCAAAATACATTCTTTCAAAATAATGTGGCTCAAACACACACTAAACTTGTTGTGATGGATACCCTTTTTATCTATTTCTTTGTAAATTTTGTTTTACTGATTTTTTCAAAATTTTATCAACTTTCACATTGTGGCCTCTTGAAAAGGATTTTGTGTGCTTTCTTCATAATTCACTTTTGTTTCATCAAGAAAAAGATCTATATGCTTGATAAATATTCATTGAGAATGACAATATTGAAGAAATTACGTTCATGTAGTACTTTGAAAAGCTGATGCTCACAAAACTGTCTTTTATGAAATTAAAAAATCTCAAATATATTGTTTTTATAAGCTATTTTGTTGGAATTCAACTGTTGTGGAAGCCTGGAAGTAACACTTCTATTCATCTATAGTTCATCTGAATGAACATGAAGCATCTTCTAGAGTGCTGAATCTCTAAGAATACATTTTCTCTTTGATAGATAGTGGTTGACACTTGACACTATTAACCTTTTCTCTAGTAATTTTCATCCAATTACAAAATGGAGGGAAAGAGTGATGAATTTCTTCCACTGGTATTGACCCAGAAGGTTTAGATATTTTCCTTGGATAATTATGTCCTGCAACCTAATATTCCAAGCATAGAAGTGAATGCATTCAGCCCGAAACATGGTCTTTGCATCAAATTGGCTTGCACTAGTTGTGGAAATCTTAAATACTGTCTTAATGCTGAGCAGATTGGATGGAGTTGTCAATATCTTCTGAGTCTTGACTACTTTATGCTTTGAATACCAAGATGTGGTCTTTTTATTACATTCAAGGACTGTTTATGTTATCCCGTCATGTTGTATTTTGAAATGTGAGTTTGGTGATGTTTTCTGAGCTGGGGATCCAGAGTCTGATAGTTTAGATGTTGTCTACATGATAACAAGGCTGCAAATTTATTGTATTTTGTCGTGGTGATGCCTATAACAGATATGCACAAATGCAAAAATTCGAGCCAATGCATTTGCAGCATTTGGAGCCCTAAGCAGATACGGTTTTGGGGAACAACATGATGCATTTCTTGAGCAGGTGTTCATTCATGATTCAGATATGCTAATTGGAACCTACATATATTCTATTCTTTATTTGCATTGTTAGCATGCTAAGAATTATATATCTGTCAGCATTCAAAAGTTATTGTCATTTGTTGATGTGCTCAACTCATTTTGATCATAGAATTATTCCTTTCTGATGTACCAATATTACAATTCATATTATCTTTAAAATTTTCATCCCTGCCTTCTTGATTTCAGGCTTAATTAAGTGATTATTACCACTTGTCTAATGTGGAGTAAAGGAAATATTTTAAAGGTTATGTGACATAACGCACAGGGAAAATGGAACAAAGAAGACAAGGAAGAACAAAAAAGTAAAGCATACAGAAAATTGATGGTATTAATCTTAAATAAGCCTAGCATCCACAAGCAAAGACGACGATCCACTGAGAACAAAACTTACTAGAGTTTCAGTGTAATCACACCCAAATCTTCTTTATACTGAAATTCCTGGTTGAAATCACTTCTAGTTGATCATAATTACAACCTTATATATAAGCATTGGACTGTGACAATGTGCACTAATAAATGGAGTGGGTCGGTATACAAGACATCGCAGTGGTAAAACAATCATATTAACTGTTTGTCCTTCATCTGAAGTTAGAAAATCATTTTACATTTTTATCCATCAATTGGAAATTCAATCTTTCATTTCTTTTGATTGGATGCCCATATTGCTGCTTTATGATGTCTTTAGATAGAGTCTTCTGACCGTTATCATATTAGATATAACAGATTTTTTTCTTTCTTGGTTTAGTTCAATGTCACACGGCATAATTCTACTCTTTCATCTTCATCAGTTCAAGATACAATTATTGACACTATTAACTTCTGTCAGGTGCATTCTACCTTGCCGCGTTTGGTTTTGCATCTTCATGATGATGATCTTGGCATCCGACAGGCTTGCCGGGTAAACAGTTCAGAAAGTCACTTCTCCAGTATGCCTACCTTTACCTGGAAAATACAATAAATTTGTTTTGTTGTATCAGAACACTTTTAAAAGCATTGCTCCATTGGTGGACGCTGATGGTATGGTTGCACTTGTCAACACGCATTGGTTTAGTTCTGACCACCGGTATGTGTTAGATCTAACATGGATTTCTCTTCGTGTTTGTTCAGCCTTACTGAATGATTTACCACACACTGATTCCTTCGCATATCTTTTTCAGAGGTGACTATGAAGACTTGCTTAGAGAGATCGCAAGGCAATTTACTCAACATATGGCTTCCAGGGTTGATACCTATATGGAGTCAATAATACAGGCCAGCATTTTCTTTTGAAAATTTTTATTTATTTATTTCTTATTTACTTGCATGGTTTTCTAGTGAGTCAGGTCAAGTCACGTGTCATAGATAACATCTGTGTTACGACATTTTTGAACTGAGTTGTGGTTCCTTTCAAACTAGATCATGACTTCTGTGAGATTAAGTAGATAATGGTGTCTGAAGACTGAACAAGCATACCATGTTAGTTGTGTTTCGTACTTTCAAATAATTTTTATTTATTTTATGGAAGAGAAAATTTATCTCTATGTATTGCTAGTAGAACTTCATGTATAATGATCTAATACTGCTATGTATTATGGTGCTGTTGTAAGTAATATAGGAGGCTGTTTATCAGCAGGTAGCACTGATCTTCGTCATCCTTAGATCACAGGGCCTGTCCTGCATCACATGGCTTTGTCTTCTTGTGCTTGTTGTCGTTTGTCTACACCACATAAAAGAACTTTCTTACGATATTTTCTCTCTTCCTCAATTTACCTTCTAAATTTTTGTCAATGCTTTCATACTACATGCTAAATGTTTTTGTTTTGTTACATTTTGTGCTTTTATCTTGGGTGAGGCTATGATGGTAAATTTCGTATCCTATAAATTTCCACCTTAACATTGACAAATATGTCCTCATTTAGAAAGTCTACAGTTTCTTTCTATTCCTCGATACGTTCGTATAATGTTTGGTGAGGAGGATTAGATAATACTGGGCAACATTAATGAACAAAACTAAGCTAAAAAATCTTGATGAGTACGCTCAACAAAAATGTACTTCTAGTAAATTAGCAGGGTTTTGTAAAAACAATTGTCTGAGTCAATCAAGCGTTACACAGGCTTTTGATGCGCCTTGGCCAGTTATTCAGGCAAATGCGGTTTATTTATGTAGCAGTATGCTTGCTGTATCAGAGGATCAGCACATCTCAGCTCTTTACTACAGTCAGGTCATCATCAGATGCGTCAATCCTTTGTCGTTTCTGTTGAATTTCAGCAAACTGTAGACACTAAAAATTTGATCTGATCTTATTTTAGGTGTTTGGAATGTTGGTTGGGAAGATGAGCCGGTCAACAGATGCTATTGTTAGAGCAACTTGCTCTTCGGCCCTTGGTTTGTTACTAAAATCTGCCAATTCAATCTCATGGAAAGTTGCTCGGCTTGACCCAGCGGACGCAATTCAGCAAGGTCGTGAATCAGATTCTAAGAGGAGGTCATGACAAGCACCTGAAAAATGAACTGTTGGAGAGGTTTGAGTTAGATATCATTGTTATTAAGGTTGTTTAGGGTAGCTTCGTCTTCTACTTGTTTAGAGTTGTTTCTTTCCCCTTTCGTCCTCTCTGTAAACCAGTTTCAATTTATTGAATACACATTTCCATCTTCTTTGACAGCTGAACCTGTTAAATTCGGCTACACAAATGAGATTGATCTCGTTGATTCTACCAGGATGGGGTTGGTGTGCTCAAGAACTTGGGTGTTCAAGTATGTAAAAGCTTCCAAGAAATTGTCCGTTTGTGTATATGCCTCTGAGTGATTGTAATTTTGAATATAGTGTGTTTGGGAGCATGTAAATTAGCTTAGTAGAGTCCTATGCTGCTGGTTATTATTATTATTATTATTATTATTATTATTATTATTATTATTATTATTATTATTATTATTATTATGTTTTTGGTTATTTTGTAGAAGCTTAGGATTCATCAGTATTTATGTTATTTGATACAGTTCATATTAGTACACTTCATGGTAAGCAAACTTGCTATTCGAAGATCATTGTGAGATCAGATCGTACGAGATATTAAACTATTTGATCTGAAAGCTTAAACTATTCAAGAGGGTAACATGCTTATCATTTAAATCTTGTTTTCAATATTACCCCCTCGCGTGTAGGCCAAAGTAATTTTATTTTTTTTAATATCAGAACATAGCTCATTTAATGGATGACGGTGAGATTTGAATTTGGATCCTTTGCCTGCTCTAATCTCATGTCTAAAACTGTATTTTCTTTGTTGAAAAATATACATGACTTGTATAAAGGTTTCATAGCTAACTAAATTGGAAAACTTAAATCCTAGCTAATTCTAATTACAGTACTGGAAAATTTGACCTAAAAGTAATTTCATTTGTTCCTAAATTTAAGGAAAAATTTTCTTCATGCATCCCCAATCTATGGAAGTGCAATGTCGTCCCTATTGAATTTTTTGTCAATGTAATCCCAAATTAGGTGCTAATTTTGATTATTAAATATGAACGTGTATCTCAAATATTCAACTTTTTATAAGGTAAAATGGTCAGGACACACTAATCAATTTCTCATTTGACTTAAAATTCAAAGAAAGAGGAAAAATGAAAAAACCATTTTCAATTATTCCTTTGAATTGGTAGAACTTGACGATCTTTTGCAATAATCCAGTTGCCAATAATTGCTTAGACTACGTTAGCCATAAGTTTTCTCTAGATTTAGCGTGCATGTAAGAAAACAGTGCAAAACTAGCAATTTCCTCTACCGTTGACGAGGAAAATAGCATCTTATGGTCATGACCAGTTAATATCCATACCATATTACAACGATTATCGATAGGTTGATGGATGGAGGAGAAGAAGGAGAAAGAGGGGAGAGAGAGAGAGAGCAAAAAAACTTGGAAATTTGGCAAAAAGGGTACCTGAAGAAACTGGTTCTTCTTACCAGAGTATGACATTGCTTATGCAAGATATCAATCAGCAGGCAGATTTTTAGAAATTAATCTGCAAACAATATTTAGACAAGGAAATTTGCTATTGAAAACTTGTTCTTTACTGACTTTGTTACATGAATACTTTTTCTTATTCTTACTGTTGCTTGATTCTCTTTCACTTCGGCATTCTAGCTTTGATTTTGTCTCTTTTTCTTTCTTGTGAGTAAATTATATCTGGACGTTCTATTAATTTGAAAGCTCAACTATCAGCACCAATTTTGGCCAATGCAGTAAGCCAATCTCGAGGTCGAGCTTTGATGCTTAGATTTAATTTTGTATACAATGAGAATCAAGAGAGCATTTTGAATCATTTGACGATGATTTGAACTGAGACTTGCAAAGAATACCTCAAACTATGCTCATCGTTACTATAATAGTGACGTAATCGATACCATCTTCATCGCAAAATTCAGTATTACATTCGATACATGTTTTCTATGTCACAATATTACTTTGCAATTTTAAATTTTCTCTTTTAATTGGGTTCTTAAATGGAAAATCAGTAAATTTGAAAATTTAATAGGCTTTCAAAAGCAGCAATGTCCAATTAATTTTCAATTTTTCCTATCAATTTGAAAAAAAAAATTTGCTTCCTGGAGACATCAATATCATGTTTAATATTTCTTTCTGATTTTGTCCTGAAATGGTAAATCCATCAATTAAAAATTTATACAATGTTTTATACACAATTTACCAAGCCTATGTTTCTAGAAACGGGTCAAATGTCAACGTAACAAAGATAACAATACAAAATTAGTTGTAATTCCTATTAAGATGCACATAAAAACTGGTCAAGATCTCCTAATTCAAGAAAACACACTACTACATTCATGCTCCATCAATAACTTTCCTTAGTTCTTGGATCGTCTTGCCATGTTTAGCTCCAACCCTAATTAAATGCATTGTTCCTACCAAACGTACTCTGTCCTTATATAATTTGTGACTGCCAAAAAGATAAAACTCTCATCCAATATTCTAGCAGTCGATTCATCAATGGCTTCTGAAATTCAGCAGCTTCATTTCCTCCTGGTTCCTCTAATGTCCCAAAGCCATATCATTCCCTTGACAGATGTTGCCAAGTTAATTGCACGTCGAGGCGTCACCGTCTCCCTCATAACAACACCCCTCAATGCTGCCAGGTACAAACCCATAATTGACAATGCCATAGAAGAAAACCTCAAGATTCAAATGATTTCCCTGAAATTTCCATGTCATGAAGCTGGACTGCCTGAGGGATGTGAAAACATGGATACAATCACTTCTCCTCAATTAGTAAATCAGTTTTTTCTGGCCTGTGAATTACTGCAAACCCAACTTGAAAAATGGATAGGAGAATTAGAACCAAAACCTGATTGCATGATTTCCAGTAATGCTCTACCTTGGACTCAAGAAGTTGCTCAAAAATTCAATATCCCAAGGTATATTTTTGAAACAATTTCTTGTTTCACACTCTTGTGCTCTCGCAAAATAATGAAAATTATCCAAGACAAAACCATTGTTTCAAATTCAGAATCTTTTTCGATCCCAGATATACCCCACAAAATTGAATTCACCAAATCCCAGTTGCCTGAATCGATGGGAGAAAAGTCGGATAATTATAAAGGGCTTGTAGAAAAAATTTTGCAGGTTGAGGCTTCAGCACAAGGTATTCTGGTGAACAGTTTTCAAAATTTGGAGCCATGGTATGTTGAAGAATACAAGAAAACAGTAAAGAAAAATCTTTGGAGCATTGGACCAGTTTCTTTGAGTAATAATAAACCCTCCATGAATGAGCATCCTTCCATAGCGTGGCTTGATTCAATGAAGCCAAGGTCTGTGATTTATGTATGTTTTGGCAGCCTTTGTCGCATTTCATTTGAACAGCTAAAAGAAATTGGTTCAGGGTTGGAAGCATCGAATTTTCCTTTCATTTGGATCATAAGAGGGCAGGAATCTTCTGCAGAAGTAGAAAAATGGTTAGCAGATGACAAGTTTGAAGAAAGGGTTCAAGGGAGAGGCCTAGTAATCCGAGGATGGGCGCCACAAGTTTTGATATTGTCTCATTCTTCGATTGGAGGATTCTTGACACATTGTGGCTGGAATTCTACGTTGGAAGGAGTATGCGCTGGCGTGCCAATGATCACTTGGCCTATGTTCGCGGAGCAATTCTATAATGAAAAGTTTATCGTGCATGTATTAGGAATCGGAGTGAGAATTGGGGTAGAGAAAAGTGGGGGATTTGTCGAAGGAGATCAAGTGAAGAGAGCTATTGAACGGCTTATGAACGAAGGAGAGGGAGAAGAGAGAAGAAAGAGGGCTCTTAAGCTTGGAGAAACGGCTAAGGAAGCAGTAGAAGAGGGGGGTACATCTTACTTGAATATCTCAATGTTGATTCAAGATGTTATACAATTCAATATAAATAATTAGCAGTTCTTGAATATTTATTAATTAGTTTAATAAATAATTCATAATTAAAACCAGAACTTTGTAGTTCTTGAATATTTTATTAATTAGTTTAATTAATCATAATTTGGAATTTTTCTTGTCTTACTCAAGTACTCTACATTTGATTAAATTTAATGCTACATTTGGACCTCCTCTTTACATGGGCGGCTTTGATATTTTGGAAGCCTTATGCGAACTTCAAATATAGGACCTCTATATTTGAGCTTTCTTAGATAGAATTTAATGTAATTATAAAGAATCTAATATAGACAATTAAGCTCCAAAATTATAAGAGAAAAAATAACAAAATGTCGAATTTCAATATTCAATACAAATTATAAGTAAAAGTAGGCAAACAAAATTACAATGCAATGGCGAAGGTTTCTGTTTGTTTTTTTTTTTTTTTTTTTTTTTTTTTTCACTACAACTATTTCAAATAAAATTGTATGCATTTGAGTAATTTATGTATAAAATTAGAGAATGCTAACAGCAAGAGATAGTGTAACAAAATAATGAATATAACGATCAAATACAAATGAGCTTCTATTTTTACATTAATTCATAAGAAGTTAAATTACGAATAAGAAGTATGAACACAAACAAAGAACTATTAAATTCAAAGTACATTCAACAAACATCTAAAATGACTATTATCATAAGATTTAAGCAAAACAATAATTATAACAGCATATATACTCTATAATATTATTTTTAAGACAAGGGAGAAAGAAAGATGTAGATTGACTCGATAACATACATTCGATCATATACAAGAGAAGTAATTTAGTTGTGCACAAAAAAAGGGCATAATTAGTAAATACAAAATAAATAGGGTGAAAAAAATGAGAAAAAAGAATTACATTATCTTAGCGTAAACAGTTTCCAAGAGAATTCTAAAGATTATCAACTTACCTAAATCATATAACTGCTAAAGCCTAACAGAACGAAAAAATAAGAAAAAATATTTGACTAACTAATCACTCAAGCTGAAAGTGATCACGGTTGGTGAATGATTATCGCAGAAAGATATAACCCTTCGACGAAAACTAGGGACGCTGACAAATGCTTCGTCGAAGCAATTCTCGGAAAGTCTTGAAACGGCGTGGCAACAATTTGCATGTAATGTTAAGTTTTTTGCAAAGAAAGAAGATATGAGGTCTTCTATGCAACCATCCACATTTATCAAAGCTGACGTGCAATCACTAGGATCTGCTGTTGGTGTATTTCCTGGCTTGTGATGGACTGCTGATTGTGGAGGCGGAGATGGCTGAGTTACTGGTGGGTGGTGATGGTTGTTATGGCCGCGGAGGTAATGGCGGTGGTGGTGATGGTGGTTGGCTAACACGCCATTGAAACATGTGAACAGGCATATAAGAAACAACAAAACCAAGAATCTGCTTTTCGTCATCATCGAAATTCTATGCAAATCCATCAAACTTGTTTGTTTTTAAGACTGATCATGTATTTATATATAAATCAGTTCGAATACTTGAAAAGAATTTGAGATGGAATGGAATACTTGTCTGAATATGTTACATATTGTAATGTATATATAGACTTCTTGCTCTATTACAATAATCTTACAAGTTTTCTTGGAGACGTATTTAATTTTAACAGGACGCTCCCTATTGGCCAAGTTTATTAACGTTTTAAATACTCGAATATCTATTTTGTAAGACAAATCGTACTATTTGGCGGCACCTATCATATTTAAGCATCAAGTTCTGATTGAAATTGGATTACTTAAATAAAACCTTATAATTCAATAATTACCATAAGTAAATAAACAAATTGCTAAGATCGAATTTTCTGGTACTGACTCGGACTAATCTCAATTTAGAGTTCAAAGATATTTAATGTTGAAAATTTTAAAATTTATAATCATAAAATCATATATTACATGGGATCGGATCTGACGGGCTTACCCAGGGACCTGGCCAACTAACGGGGCCGGGTGAGATAATTGGACCCTAGCTTAATTGTTATTGAACTTTTCATGCAAACCTGCACTCTGTTTATAAATTTTTCACGTTTCTTTTTTTTTCTTTAATATATATTGTATTTTAAGATTGATGGATTATTAATCACGATCCTTGAATGATGCTCTCTTTAAAATTTTTAGACGCCTTCCTTGATCATCACTAAGAGTATCCTGTGCACCATAAAATGCAACTTGATCACCGAAAATTCTCAGTGCCACCGCCTGTGCACCTACTTCTCCAGGGTCCGGCAGAGGAGCTGAGTACTTTCAAGAAACACAAAATAACATTATTGTGATGGAACAACTACGTCCATTAATGAAGCTATTGAAGCAACTAATAAACATTTGCATCAAATTTGACAATCACAGAGAGAGTGCTATATGTACAACCAAGATTGACAAAATCGCATGCATGGCAAGGGGGCCCACGATTTAAATTTGAAGATCACAAAAAACTCGTGGACCCCCTTCTATGTATGTGATTGTCAACCATAATTGTACAACTAACAAAATTTCTCATAGAGATACATCAGCTTTCTTCGGTAAAGATGTTAAATAAAATATCGGGAGAGAATTGTTCTCCATATTTTGTCCATATTCGATAAAAATGTATGAATCGTCTTTCTTTACAGCTAGTTAACATAAAAAACTTTTCAACATTTGAATAATCAACTAAAAATTTGAAACACTACAACTCAAGAAATTAGTTTGCATCATAAAGAACCCCAAATGTGTTTAGATATACGCATACAGCAATTTCTTTTGAGTTCAGAACCTCAATGAACGAGTGATTTGTAATTGAAATGAGCCTAAGGTTTAAGATCCAGTAAGATGTATTCACATTACTGAACAGGATGAATAGGCAATCAAGAGGCTCGTGGCCTCGATTGATGACCTTCGATGCACCTAAAAAGAGAGTAATGCCTAAACTCGACCAAAGAAGTCAACTAGTTAAGCCTTCATCGTGTGTCCAATAGGTCGAGGATTTTATACAATGTCACAACCATCACACATTATAATAGAACTATATTGCAATAGCAAGCTCCTAATTAAAATAGATAGGGAAAAGATCCGTATCGTATGCAGCTTCAGCAGTTATAGAACGAGAAACAAGAGGTTACACAACAGTCAGACTGAAATATAAGAAGGTATCTAGCAAACAATTTATTTACAGGCAACCGAATTCTGAGGGAGGGGAAGACAGCGGAGAATGAAAATCTGGGCAGCATTTTACGCCAATAACATACAGCCGACAACTTATTTACACAGTTCAATCATTTAGCATTGTCAAAAGTCTTAAGGTATTTTCCTATTCCTTTCCGCTTTTCTGTATCTAACTTGCAACATAATCCAGCTTTCAGAATTTGTTGAAGTTTTGAATTTTAAATTAGAAACTTGCATCATCCCATGAAATCAGTAAGCCAATCACTGCAAGGGAACATTAGGTTCTGCTTCCTCTTGAGTAATAATTCGACATTTTGGAACCGCTTTACCTAACATAGACGTCCCTTTGAAGGATACCATTTGCGAGCAAGTCAGTCTGTGGTTGTCAAGCTGCAATATATGGAAGATTGAAAATGGAGGAAAGGTCAGAATATGTGACAGCACTTAAAAAGTTCTCTATTTTCCCTTTTCTTAGGAACAGGTTCGAGCAGTTTGCTATTTACAAATCCACGTTAACTTACCTGCTCTTGTGATATTATCTGAAATCCAAACTTATCTGTCCATATCGACTTTGCCTCGTCAGCAGCTGGTAGAACAAAGGTCCTCACATTTAAAAACGCAAGCAATTTCTCGATGCAAGAGTACAGGATTTGGAAATATCCCTGTACAGATATTACAATTATATCAGACTAAGAAAAGATGCCGCAGATAAATATAAATGAACTAAGTCTGTAACAGCTTAAAAGGGTAGCAGCAGTAAATTATTAGTAGCCAACAATGCTGAATAAATCCATTATAGACTAGGTGACTGAGAAGCATAACAATGGGCAACAATCAAATTAAGAAAATGTAACATTTACTATCATAACAGGCTTTGCATAATCACTAGACCAGAGAGACTGATACTACTGAAATTCAACCCATATGTTTATTTAAAAACTTTCAACAAAATGTATTTATAAAATGCGAAAAGAGAAACATCAATATTATATGGGATGGAAGAAGTGCATTACTGGATGTGATCATTGGAATCAGATGTTTGGTTTATGTACATAATCTATAAGATCAGTAGGCTAATGCAAAGTCAGTTACAGCACCATAACTCTATTGTGAGATTATGGAAGAATGCCCTTAATAATATCAGTCAGCCGCTGCAAAATCAGTTACAGCATTGTCATTACATTGGTAGTTACATAGGAAAGCCTTAATATGAAAGAGCACGCCCACCCCCAGGAAAAAAAGAAAGAGAGAAGAAACAGGAATAAAGGAGCACGCACTCACAGAAGCACAAACAACTCCAAGGCTTATGTTGAGAGGGGAAGAACCTTGAAAGAAAAGCATACATTTTTACGAGAGCAGGTAGGAAATTCAGCATTGTATGAATTTTGGACGGACTTCTATGGTATGTAGAAAAACATAATTAGCCTAAATGGACTTTCTATTTCATGCATGTTTTTGTGCATCGTTGCAATCAAATTGCACCATCTCATTTCTCTTGAAATGGAGGATGGGGGTGATTGATTATAGCAGCAAGTCCAAAAATGCTTGCCGAAAAAAAAAAAAAATCCTTTTTTTCAGGGAGCAGGTGGCCCACCAATCTGGAGGTGCACACCCATTTAGGAACATATGCAAAGGGGTAAAGAGTGAAGTCATGCGGAATCAGCATTATCCTTGAGACGAGTCATAAACAGTCAGTACATAGACGATTTAGTAGAGTAGCAATTACATCACCCTAGGTTAAGTTTTACACTAAGTTACTGGTTTGATTTTGAGGGGAAAATGAGGGTCCTCAGAAGAGCTAATAGCCTAATACAACAACCAAGTTTTGTTCCCAATAAGCAGGGAGTGAGTACCGAAATTGTTCTCTCCAATTTGATTGATTTATAGCTACTTCAACTATAAGATCAAATGCAACTAGATACTTCGTAATGGACATGTTTTTGGTCTACATCCCCCTGCTCAATATTTTCTGCTGGTCACATTATTCTTGTAAACAGAACTCTTTAGGTTTATACTAAGGCATGTAACAATAAAGTCGTTGATAGACTCCTATCACGTCTACATACCCTAGAAGGACCCAGAAGAATGCAGAAGAAAATTCAGTAGACATATTCAGTTACAGGCAGGGGTATTGTGGGAAATATGGTGAGATAGGATGCCTATAAATGTGAGAAAGGTCGGTCTGGGAAAGGGGGAGAAAGTTGAGGAGAAGAGAATGTGGAGAGACTAGCCCTCTCGAATGGCTATGTGTTTTTCTTTTTCAGTAGTGTAGTTCTTAGTTTCATCAATAAAATACAGCATTTCATTTCTATTCTAGTATTGTTCATCCACTGGAGCTGGGGTCCTATCAGTCATCCTTCCCTCAATTTGTGCTCAATCAATGCCACGTCCACTTGTTCCTATTCATGGCCACAAATCATGTTAATATCCTCGGCCTGAAAAATTGTTCCAAAGAACTGAAATTTAACCTTATAAGGATCGTCCTGTCAAGCTTTAATTCTATGCATCATCGCCTCTTCAAGTCCTTGTCAATAATCGAATGTAAATACCTAATAGTCACTCTAAGAGCTAATATAATAATATATTCCATCAGCCAAAAATCAAGAAATGGAATTCAGTATGGCCTACAATTATATTCATCCACAGCAGGAAAAAAAAAATAAAACAAGTGTCAAGAAAAAATACAGATTTGAAAAGGAGTAGGCTGGGGTTAAGGTAAACCCTAAACTAGGATCAATAAAATTTTGAACAGCATATTGAACCAACCTTGCGTTGATTACCCATACGAGTAGCGGCTAATGGAAGTTCTGCTATATCTTGTCCGAAAATCCGAATGATCCCGGCTGATACAACTTTTGAGCTGCAAGAATAATGAAGGAATCGTTAAATGAAAATAATAATGTAATCAAGAATTGAGAGCTACCATGATTGGGAAACCTGGTCCTTACTTTACCATCAATAACGCACAGTACACTCCACTAAAGTCTTGGCCTCTTACATTCCTTCTGCCCAATTGATTTTGGGGTGGGGGGGGGGGGTATATTATTAGGCAAGATATATTGATATATCCACATTCAAGAAAATAATAATGCCTAACAGAGTGCAAAAGGAGTTATGCTTACCCATAAACCATAGATGGAATGAAGTCCCGTCCAGTCTCTGTATCGACAATAGGATCAAAACATTCCTGAAAGTAAATAAACAATCTCTGTATTGTCAGCATCTCTTATAGACAGTTTGAAGCCAAATAAAGGAAGTTCCATTAAGATAAGAACACAATCAAATTATACAGCTAACAAGGCAAATTCTATCACGGCATGCAAAAATATGAGAGACTTGAACAAGGGGTAGAAGCAGTATCAAACTTCCAATAAGAGAAGACCATAAAGTTTATGAATACACCCATTTCCATGCCATTTTCCTTTTTCAATTTTTTTCTGCCTGTTCTCCATCCTGAAACACCAGTTGGTTGAATATGATAACTTAAAGCCCAACTGGGTCTAAACCAAAAATTCACCCAGCTTTGACGAGGAAACAATTCATAAACAATATAACTCAACCTTTAATCTTTAGAATATTACCAGTTTACTTTTGTATTACATGAAGATACGGCCTCTGAACAAGAATAGTGGTTTCCACCAGATATGAAGCCAAACGTTTTCTCTGTCGTGAGAAATTTTGTTTTTAGGCATCTGGGTTTCATTCATTGCTTTTAACAGAAAAATTACTTAAGCATATTACAGAAAAGAACTGATTATGAAAATACAGTACACTGGGTGCTAAGAATACGGCATTGAAGGACCCATGAGGAAGAACTTAGGAGGAGAGAAACATATTTGTATCAAGAACCACACATAACTCAAATATATTCAAACTATAAACAAACATGTTTGTGCTATAGTCAAGCTCTAAGCTGACATCTGAAGTTACAATAATTCTAATTGTGCAACAAGTGAACCACACAGGCACATCATATTTATTCTAACTCAAGGGAACTGATTAGAAAAATGAATATCAAAACATGGTCCAAGAATGCTTACGTGAAATATAGCAACAGCCTGTGAGAGGAGCACTCTAGTTTCATGAGAAGAAACTTTCGCACTCAAAAGCCTCCAGCTCACATCAAGATCGGTATCAGAATCCAAATCATTTTCCTTGTGCTTCTTCCTTATATCACCCAAAGAAGAGTCTGAGAGCTTCTCCGCCCCAGAACTCACCAAATTTTGCAATGCAACATAGATCCTCTTGCAGTCCACAGAACAGAACCATTTTCCTTTAGGAAGTTCCTGTTTTTTACAAGCGTGTCAAATTTAATTTCAGAAAGAGAGATGTAAGAATTATCGACGCTGTATACATATATGTGTATGCATATATACATGTATGTATATACATATATGTGTGTGTGTGTGTATATATATAACACAGTAGGAACAAACTAGTCCTATTATAGCATATATATACATACCTTTAGATCTGCTATCTTGCTTTTTTTCAGACAGCCCACATGATATTCTTTCTCACACTGGGAAGCAATGAAGAGATAATTGAATTATGGTAATCCATTCAAATCACTAAATTAATGCGGAAAAGATTAAGTTAAAAGCTGGAAGAATACCTGATCACAAAATATAACCGTGCGAGGACTAAAACCAGATTTGCCATAATCATAGCCTCTGCAAACAAAATAAGCTAGGATATTCAGAATGACTATATTAGTGAACATCTGATGGTGAAGATTTTTTTATACATGTTCATTACCGGCAGATTACACATGCAATAACTTCCAATTCTCCAGGATTCTTGACAATACGAATGCAACGATTTGTTATCTGCTTTATTGGATCTACACCTGACATTCTACCAGCTGCAACTGCATTAGCATTATGCTCAACAAATCTCTCCCTCTGAAACATGTTTCGGCAATATGTGCAGTACCATTTTCCTGGGGGGATACTTGACAGGGATGCACATTCTGCATGGCAAGATGAGAATACTGTTAAACTGAGCAGCTCACTCAGAGTATAACTTATTGTATCCCTAATAGGCAAGGTTCATGATAAGAAGAAATTTTCAGATGCAAATCATACATGCTATAGATAAAGTTAGGGCTTCAACTGTCATTCCGGTTTGAGCTGGAGACATTATTAAACTAACCCCATGGAAAAATGGCCAAGTTTGATCCTTTTCAGGCACATTATATTCTTGCACATGACTCTCAATGAGCTCAACAAGCAATCAAGTTAGAAATATGATAGATATAAAAGTATAGCAATTGAAGGTGCAGCAGATACATATCAAGAAAAGATTCCTCGAGAGGAATTGAGATAAAAGAAACAGGCTCCTGATTTTAAATCAAAAATCTCATAGATGAGAACTCCAATTAAAACATTCATTAAGTTAACCTATCATTAACATATATTGGTAACAGTGGTAGTAGAAGGACAAGGTTAAAACCAGCCTTTACATCAAAATTTACAGAAGGGAAAAAACATTTCATTAAGTTAACTTGTCATTCATTATATTGATAATAGTGGCACGGACAAGGATAAAACTAGCCTTCTTCCAAATAAGTGGAGGAATAAGATGCCCAGCCACAAAACGACCTCACTAATCATACAACCATAACATAATACAAAAAAGTTTGTGCGCTAAACTTAAAGGGGGCCATTTCAACCTACCAATAGATTTGACAAATCATAACAGACTTTAAATTAAGCCCTTGGTTGAGCCTCATTCTTTTGGAAAAATTCAGTTTTCAATAGTATTTTAACATCATTTCAACCACACATTCTTCAATAAAATAATAAAAACATTTCATTAAGTTAACTTGTCATTCATTATATTGATAATAGTGGCACGGACAAGGATAAAACTAGCCTTCTTCCAAATAAGTGGAGGAATAAGATGCCCAGCCACAAAACGACCTCACTAATCATACAACCATAACATAATACAAAAAAGTTTGTGCGCTAAACTTAAAGGGGGCCATTTCAACCTACCAATAGATTTGACAAATCATAACAGACTTTAAATTAAGCCCTTGTTTGAGCCTCATTCTTTTGGAAAAATTCAGTTTTCAATAGTATTTTAACATCATTTCAACCACACATTCTTCAATAAAATAATATTACACGCAAATCCAAAATTTTTCTTTATTTTTTAACTACACATTTCCCATCAATACACTATTCAAAAATTCATTCTTCCCAAAAAAAGGGGGCTCAAACAAGGGCTAATTTAATCTAGCAGTGTTGATCTAATTTTAACATAACAAAATAATTTAAAGAAAAAAAAAATCCCCTTCTTGGTTTAAATAGAAATCAGATTTTTAGTAAAATTTGATAAAAGTTGATGAAATGTGTGACTGAAAAGTTGTGGGTCGTATGAAATGTGCGATTAAAATTAATTATTGACTTTAATCTAACTTTTTAGTTGAACCAAACAGGGACTATCTATCTTCTTCACCCCACCACCACCTCACTGTCACATCCGCCACACCACAGCCTTAATCAGGGGGGAATTTCTCCCATGTTCACCCCCCCCCCCCCCCCCCCCCCCCCACAAAAAAAAATAATAATAATAATAATTAATAACATTAATCTATACTATTAGATCATTTTAAAATTAAGGGCAATGATTATTTGTCAAATCTATTGGTAGGTTGAACGCTTCACAAATGTAAATACATACATATAGAAAGATATATACACATACATAAGCACCTACATATATATACATATTTCTTTACGAAATAGGCATCCAAACCCACCTCTCTCATGCGCCAAAAGGGAGAAGGTATACTACAACTTCTCAATTCAGTGTTTTCATCTAACAGATGAAAGCAGGATGCAGATTTCCCTCTAACAGCGGTTCTTACAGATATGACTGCTCCTCTCATCCCCTAAGATGTATGTTGGTATGTGTATAATCCCCCCACCCCCAAACAGAAAAGATAGGTAAGGGAGAATCTGAAGGAATCTCCAAAAGATTTAAAAAATAATAATAATAATAATAATAATAATAATAATAATGGATAAGGTTCAAAGGAACTAAGAGTTGGAACTGTTGGGCACGTGATCAAGACAAGATGGATCGAACTAAAATGGATTCTCTTTTCTTGGTTATTCCCTCACATGCTATTCTTGGCAGTAAAAACTACTCTTGAATAAGCATTCACCTTTAAGATAGCGCACAAGGTATTTGATAGAGGAAGAACAAAACATATCTGCATCAATCAATGGAGAAATTAATAGTTCACCTTTGTGAAAGGCCCTTGGACATCCATCACAAAGCACAAGTTTTCCACCATCTGCACAAATGATGCACAAGTCATCACTGTCTTTAGCAGAATACCTGCGATCTTTCAATAGTGATATGGCATATTCATGGAGAGACACCCCATTGGATGTGTAGATGTACATATAGCTGCAGAAAATAAAACAGGAAACATGACTTTAGATAATAAAAAAGTTACATATTTTCAAACCTTCAAGTAGAAGAAAAGTAGAGAAAGAAGACTAACGGCTTTTTGCGTGATGCCCAACCAGCATGAGCTTCAAACTGAGATGGGCTTATCTGCATAATAGGCAAAAAGAATCAGCACATCAGCTAAAACATTCAGGATATCCAAACTCAACCAGTAAATTATATTACCAGAATATTGCAGCAACGACAAATTATTCCTGACCCCATTTTATAACCATCACGTAATTTCTGTAAATGGCAAAGCAGAAAATTAAAATATTGAAATAGAAAAACCGAATATAGTTCCTGTGGCATTAGTCTGGACCACCTTTCCATGTGAATAATAAGCAACTTCAGTTCCATCAGGCAATCCACCATCCTCGAAAACAATTTTGTGCATTGACTGATCTCTGCGAATAATGGCATTATAAGACCAATATCATTTTCTCATAATCTAGAGTAAAGAATGTGAACATTATCTGCAAGTTAATTTATGACAAAGAAAGCAACAGAGTAGATTGAACAAACTTTTTTGTTATCTTCCATGAACTTTTTTGTGCAGAGAGAGATGAAGTTGCACTTTTCAAGGACATTGAAACTGGAGAGAAATTTGATGACCTAAAACACAGAAATGGAATATGTAACAAAAATTAAAATATAGTGTTGGGAGTGCTCAAATGGAAATTCATCCAGAACAGATATATAGACCAACTTCTTCAAGATCTTCTTGTGAGATTTATGTTTCATGGAGCTCTGCAAGGAACCAAAACCAATACCACTTGCATTCGGGATGGAAGTCGATTTCAATAAATTCACCGAAGAACTTCCGGTTGCTGACCTTGGAGACCTTATTATTGCACAAATAAACATATTAGAGAAGAGAAACTAAACATGTTAGAGAACTGGAAGGGATTCTAGAGTTAAATTTATTAGAATGTTTCATCGTGAATAAAGTAAAGGAAAGAAAATCGTGAGTTAAAGAAGTTAAGCAGAATCACCCACTTCTCTGTTATGGTCAACTGACTCTTGTTTCGTGATGAAATGCGCGTTGAAGATCGTCCAGGTGATGTTCCATTCAATTTCAATTCTAAATGCCTAACAAAAGGAAAGCAGCAAAATTTCAATGTCTTCGGTATCTCTTCCTGGTGGAAGAATAGAACAAAGCATCAAAATAGGAAACAAACAGGATATTAACTTTCTTTTCTTTCTTCCTCGATGACATTTCATCCGTGGAATATCATGCATTACACCAGTTTTGGGCAATGTTAAGCCTGGAAGTGGCTCCAAAGGCCTGAAAGACCCCAAATCAAATAATTATAGTAGAAACCAGAAAGGGAAAAAACATTATGAAAACAAAAGGAAGAAAATTCAGAAGAATGTAATTATAACATAATTAAAATTTATATACAACCTATAAGTTTATAACACTGGATGAGTGATTTACCAACATAATTATAATCTATAAACAGCCTTTATGTTGATAACACTGGGTAAGTGCTCTATTTTTATGGCAGTACCCCAATACAAGAAATTATGTAGTATGGACAAGCATATGACAGAGATTTAGCACATTATGATATAGAATTATTTTGGTCAAAGGTAGGTCTTTGTCAAGTTCTTAAAATTGGCGAACATTAAATGACTAGTGAGTAGAAAAATCTCTTGCAGATTCTAAAATACAATAAAATATATCAAGTTTAAAGCAAAGGTCCATATTTCCAGGCCCCTGATTTTCCCCAAGCACATCAAATTAAGATTTATTCGCCCTCACTCTTCTTTCACTACTATCTGGAGCACATCTTAAAATATATCCAGTTAGCATTAATGTTGCACACATAAGAGCCATTTGTGTCGCAAACAAAATTTACTCAAACCTTCATATCTTGCATCAAACTTCTATAATATTATAAAAGAATCTCAACATGTCAAAGAAAATCAGCACTCTGATAAGTTCATTAACGAAATAAGAGCTTGAGAAGTAGACAAGTGACATGTCACCAAAATTACTCTTAAAGGATACCTAGATTCAGCACATGTTGCATCAGCTTCTGATGGTGTGATACAGGCGCATGATTCACAAAGTTGGTCAACCTTTCCTGGTGGTATTGCAAGAAACGACCCTAGAAATCGAAGCCAACTATTAAATATGGTTGCATTGAATCATGTTAAGTTAAAAATGATAAAAACAAGCTCACCCATGCAGTTCCGACAAACAATAGATTCCCTTGCTCGCAATGGACCAATAAAGTTCTCAATCGTTTCTTCTAACGTCATTAAAGAAGCTTTCCTGCATTCCTTTACCACGTCAAGGAGGCTTTTCCCATTCTCAAAGCAAATATACTGCGATGCACGTCTGTATGATTTACAAGCATGTATCTCGAATTTACAAGGCGGAATCACCTAAATATTTGGACATAGAAAAACTTTTTACATATATCTTAAGTGAATGGAACATCAAAACTGATAAGTAGCTAATCACTGACAGTTTACCAAAGAAAAAATAAAAAAATTGGGAACTCACTCTGGAACCCTTGCACAAACTGCAGAAACACAAAATTCCAGATTCTTCTATGGTTCCCCGTAGCTGAAATCCCTATAAAGAAGATAGCTATGGTGAGACTTAAGCATAAGATGGACAAAGATAAATTAATGATAAGATTCACCGAATTGCGTTGGGAGCCAGGATTCGATCATCACAGTCACATTTTCTTTAATAAAAAGCTAGCATAATATACTATAGGACCATTTTCCCTGCAGTATTAGCAATAAAGTCCTCATAGTTCAAGATTTTAACATGGGGACAAAGCGTTTCTGAGGTAAATCATAGAATGAACTTCTCTCTCTTGGGATCACAATGATCTCTTTCCTGTCAACTCTCACTCCCCACAGGCATGCACAAATACACATTACTGAGTTCACAATTAAAAATGCTAAATCCTATCATCCAAAAACAATGTTGCGACCATAAAATGCATGCATCTGTACAACACATAAGACATGCTGTTAAGCAAAAAGAAATAACTGCGATTCAACACATCTAGAATGTACTTCTTAGGATCACAATATTTTCTTTCTTACCAACTCGCTTTCTTCCCACAGGCACACACAAAAAACATAACCCGGTTGACAATTATTGTGACAATAAAAAGGCATACATCCGTACAACACATCTAGAGTCTAGAGATGATGTAAAAAACATAGAATAAAAATGCATACATCCATACAACACATCTAGACATGCAGTGAAAAACATATCTAATAAGGAATAAATAAGTATGATATTGTCACTTTAAGTACCCTCTTGCCACCATTGTACAGAACTGGATACCCTTCCAGCAACCGCGTCTCAAAAAGCTCCCTGACTGTTGTTGGCAGGGCTTTTATCGGTACTTTCTTTGACGTCTTCATTTCTGTTGCCCGCATAGGAGTCCCTAGTGCGCTCACATCCCCATTCTCCAAACTCCCGGCTTCCAAAACCACTGTTTCCCTTAATTCTCCAGAACCTCCATTTTCAATTAACGAATTATCGGATTTAATTTTCAAGGCCGATCGCGTAGACCTTCTTGAAGCATCACTTTTCACTAATTCCACCGAGGGGTCACCTTTCACTTCAATCTCAATCATTTTGTTGTCACCCCCTTTAACCCCAGAAAGTCCTGAACCACCCTCCAGTATACCAGCATTTACCGCATCTCCACCATCCAAACTGCCCTCCTGGCCCGGAACCAGAACTCCCGCACTGAAATTTTCAGCTCCACCAGCTTCTGACCGAATTCCCAAACAGCCCCGGAGTTCATCGGTAGCCCCATTGCTGCCCTCGTTCTCACTTCCATCAGTCTTCAATCTCTTAATCCTCCTATAAACAACAAATCCCTTGGGCTCAGAAGGCCTAAACCTAGGCACGTAGCAACTATCCATTACCTCCGAACCATTGGATTCGGGCCGGGCTTCATTCGGCAGTTGAGAATCCGGATCTTCGGATTTGAAATCGGGTCCGGATTCTTCTAGTTTTCCCGGGAACTCCTTTTCGAAACCTAATTTGGGCTTCATTGCCACCTATTCTTTTTCCTTAGTTTTTTTAATTAATTTTACTGTTGCTGTCACATAGGTACGAAACGCAGGAATAGATTTATGGATTTATATACCTGTAAAGGATATAGAATTGAAGTGCGTATGGGAAAGATCCTGTGAGTAGAGAGAGAGAGAGAAGGGGCGGGGGGGGAGAGAGACTCTGGACCTTAACCGAAAGAGGAGATGGATGTGATGTTTTTTATTTTATTTTATTTTTCTATGTAACTTTTTTAAAATAAGTTTTTTTTTTCTTTTTATTTTGAAAATTTTTATTTTTTAAATAAAATTTTTTTAAGGAATGTTTTTTAAATAATTTTTCATTTTATTTTATTTTTCTAAGCAATTTTTTTAAAATAAGTTATAAATTTTTTTTAAAAAATAACTTATTATTATTATTATTATTATTATTATTTTAAGTGACGTTTTTTAAATAAGTTTTAATTTATTTTATTTTTTTAGAATAATTTTTGTTTTATATATATAAGTAATGCTACTGTTTTACCCATTTTAAAATTGGTAAAAATAGTGAAAAGAAGTTGAGTGACTATAATGAAATGTTATACGAAATTAAATGACCTTAGTGAAACTTTATATAAAATTAGTTGGTCATGATGAAATAAAATCAAATTAGATGTCCATGATGACATTAAATATAAAATTGACTGATCATTGATGAATTTAAACCTTTTATTAGAGAAATTTTTTTATCACAGTTTAAAAAAAAAAAAAAGATTGGAACATCCCTTCAAGCCGAATCGAAAGTCTTCTTCTTTCTTTTTTTTCTTTCTTTTAAATGCCTAAAAACGTTAGAAATTAAAAGGTTGAAGTTGAAATCCTCTTGAAAGTTGGAACCAATTATGATTAGATATAAGTAATAAAAAAAAAATTATGATCGTGGGTGTTTAGATCAACTTACGCGCATTTCGACTAATTTCATGAGGCCCTAAAGCTTACGATCGGATACTCACCTCAGTAACCTTGAAAGAACTCGAATTGATAACTATTGAATAGCAAACTAAAAGTTTGACAACTGAACTATCCTTTAGAATTAATATAAGTAAGATTTGATTGTAAAAATGGAAAAATAAATTTCATATACAATTTATTTAAAGTAAATAACAATTGAAATTAGACTTCAAAACTTTCAAAAATAGAGAGAGTTAAACCAACTCTCAATTTGTAATTTATCAAGATTATATTTGAATAAAATTGTATGTTGCAATATTTTCAATACTTAAAGAAATTATTTATATTGGAGTATTTTCAAGATACTCAATTTATAGTGTGCACGTGTGTGAGTGTGTGTATATATAAACAATTTTTACTCATCATTTTAATTTTTTATTAAATATTTATTGAATTTGCATCATTTTTTTTATTTGCTAATGACCAATCAACTTAAGCCCTTGTCTGGATTTCATTTTTTTTT